GTGCCGGGAGCCACACAGCTCACACACGCGGGGGCTGGGAATTCAGTAGTACAGAAGTACTGCACTGAGAATTGGGGGTGGAGCCAACTCGGCCGTGGAGGCGGAGCCAAATCGGATGCGGGGGAGAGTTACAGCCAGCCTCCATTTGCTGTCTTTCACTGCAGCACACTGAGGAGAAGCAGGAATGAGTCCCTGCTTCCCCAAGTCCAACACACCAGGGACTCACTGACTCCACTCCTCCACCAGTAAGTAAGAGAGAGAGAGTGTGTGTGTGTGTGTGTGTGTGTGTGTGTGTGTGTGAGACTGCTTGTGACTGTCTTCCTGTGTTTGTGTGAATGTCTGCCTGTGACTATCTGTGACTCTGTGTGTGAATGTCTGCCTGTGACTATCTGTGACTGTGTGTGTGAATGTCTGCCTGTGACTATCTGTGACTCTGTGTGTGAATGTCTGCCTGTGACTATCTGTGACTGTGTGTGTGAATGTCTGCCTGTGATTATCTGTGACTGTGTGTGTGAATGTCTGCCTGTGACTATCTGTGACTGTGTGTGTGAATGTCTGCCTGTGACTATCTGTGACTGTGTGTGTGAATGTCTGCCTGTGACTATCTGTGACTGTGTGTGAATGTTTGCCTGTGACTGTGTGTGTGAATGTCTGCCTGTGACTATCTGTGACTGTGTGTGTGAATGTCTGCCTGTGACTATCTGTGACTGTGCGTGTGTGAATGTCTGCCTTTGACTATCTGTGACTGTGTGTGTGAATGTCTGCCTGTGACTATCTGTGACTGTGTGTGTGAATGTCTGCCTGTGACTATCTGTGACTCTGTGTGTGAATGTCTGCCTGTGACTATCTGTGACTCTGTGTGTGAATGTCTGCCTGTGACTATCTGTGACTGTGTGTGTTGAATGTCTGCCTGTGACTATCTGTGACTGTGTGTGAGAATGTCTGCCTGTGACTATCTGTGACTTTGTGTGTGAATGTCTGCCTGTGGCTGTCTACCTGTGACTGCGTCTGTGACTGTCTGCCTGTGTAAATATATATATATATATATATATATATAAATATATATATATACACACACACACACAATCACAGATATACACACACAGACATACACCTGTTGTGTTATTGTGTGTGTATATAAATGTGTATGTGTTTGGTACATAGCTCCCTTATTTGGTGTTCTTAAATATTGCAATCCCAATTGATCTTTTAGCTGTTTAGTTGATAATTCTCTAAATTGGTGTCCTTATGTGAGATTTCCATATTTAAAGATACCAAATTAGGGTGCTGTTTAGCAGATAGCTCCCTTATCCTTATTTGGTGTCCTTAAATATGGCAATCCCACATAAGGATAGCAAATAAGGGAGTTATCTGATAAACAAAGATCGACGTTATGAGTTGTCAGCTACCCCACGAACAAGAAATCTGGGTGGCTAATGTGAATTATATGCAAATTTGTTGACTGATGTCAATGTGCACTGCATGCTGGCATCAGGCAGCCAATGGCAGCACATTACCCCATCCCCTAGTGAAAAGTTTTACTGCTGCCCCAGTTTGGATTGTGGTATCTTATGTGCCCACTCCCTATATATTGTTCCAATGTGTCTATGTATCTGCATATGTGTCAGTGTGAATTTAGGTGTGTGTATGTGTATATGTGCATACATCTCAGAATCTCGCCAACACTACACACAAATACACCCCTGCATTTCAACGTCAACACTACATACAAACTCCACCATTATATATAACCACACCACTGCCTTCAAACACCACACTACATAAAAATGCATGCCCGCATTCAAATGCCAACACCACATACAGACACACATTCTACATTCAAACATACTCCATATAAAAACATGCTTACATTTAAAAGCATAAACACTGCTTAGTGCTAAATACATTTTTTTTTTAAATTGTGGTTGTTTTTTACGTTTTAAAATTGGGGGGTGGAGGGAGGGGGTCAAAAATAGGACCCGCCCCGGGTGCCAAATGCTCTAGGTATGCCCCTGCTTATAGAAATAAGAATTTGTGTGTTTTCAAGGCGCTTTCAGTTAATAATTGAATAGAATGACAGCAGCTACCACACAAATAGGGACTCTCTACCCTATAGATTAGTACAAAAAAGATTAGGTGTACACTCAGTATTGGAAATTAATGATAACAACCACCACTGGTGTGCATATGGAGCGCTTACAAATTTGTTGACTCACCCATATGGGTTAACATACATATGTATGGAAAACGTGACTCATAGCGATATATCTGAAACAAATGTAAATGCAAGAAATAGTGCAGATAACGTTTTCAATTAGTGCAGTGAGGGAATATTCTATATGGTCTCACTCACATGTAGCAGAGCCCTATAGGATAGGCTCAGATCTCAATGGCCTGCGTGTGCTTATGGTGACACAGTACCCAATCGGTCCTCTAGGCGTCTGGAGATCCTTATGCATACATGAGAGAGAGAGAGAGAGAGAGAACAAGGGGAAGAGGAGAACCCCTAGTGCGGTCAATCCAAATGTACAATGTCAAATAGTGCAGAAAAAGTGGCTTCTCACCTGATGTGGAGCCCTATACCTGGCTCCTGGTGTGTAGGTGTCTGTGCCTTTAAGGGGGCAACTACCCTTCTTTAAGCAGCAACAATGGAGGGTGGATTCCAAATATAAAACAAAATTTATTAAATAAAGTAGTAAAAACTTACAATTAAAATATAAACAAAATTGTGAGAAATTATAAAATGTGGAATCTTCAATCCTCCAGCCGAAACATGTTTCACTGTACCCAGACAGCTTTTTCAATTTATATAATGCCCCTGCTTATACCTGTTCTGGATGATAATCTGATACTAGATTATTACAGCTAAACCAGCAGGTCTCCTGTTTTTTTCCATAGCAGGAGTCCCTGCACGGCATGCCTCTGATACAACTTGGACTATTTGAATAACAATTTGTATCTACTCTGCATGTTTTTTTATCTATTTTCATCTGGACTCGCAGTAATCACCTGTATATTTACCGTTCAGATTTTTGGTATTAAATTGATCCCTTTACAACCCACTGTGTTTTTTGTGGATATACCATAATTTATGTTTGCATGCATTTGCTCGTATATACACTGCTCAAAACAATAAAGGGAACACAAAAATAACACATCCTAGATCTAAATGAATTAAATATTCTTCTGAAATACTTTGTTCTTTACATAGTTGAATGTGCTGACAACAAAATAACACAAAAATTAAAAAATGGAAATCAAATTTTTCAACCCATGGAGGTCTGGATTTGGAGTCACACTCAAAATTAAAGTGGAAAAACACACTACAGGCTGATCCAACTTTGATGTAATGTCCTTAAAACAAGTCAAAATGAGGCTCAGTAGTGTGTGGCCTCCACAAGCCTGTATGACCTCCCTACAACGCCTGTGCATGCTGCTGATGAGGTGACGGATGGTTTCCTGAGGGATCTCCTCCTAGACCTGGACTAAAGCATCTGCCAACTCCTGGACAGTCTGTGGTGCAACGTGACATTGGTGGATGGAGCGAGATGTGCTCAATTGGATTCAGGTCTGGAGAACGGGCGGGCCAGTCCATAGCATCAATGCCTTCGTCTTGCAGGAACTGCTGACACACTCCAGCCACATGAGGTCTAGCATTGTCTTGCATTAGGAGCAACCCAGGGCCAACCACACCAGCATATGGTCTCAAAGGGGTCTGAAGATCTCATCTCGGTACTTAATGGCAGTCAGGCTGCCTCTGGCGAGCACATGGAGGGCTGTGCAGCCCCACAAAGAAATGCCATCCCACACCATTACTGACCCACTGCCAAACCGGTCATGATGGAGGATGTTGCAGGCAGCAGAACTTTCTCCAGACTCTGTCACGTCTGTCACATGTGCTCAGTGTGAACCTGCTTTCATCTGTGAAGAGCACAGGGCGCCAGTGGCGAATTTGCCAATCTTGGTGTTCTCTGGCAAATGCCAAATATCCTGCACGGTGTTGGGCTGTAAGCACAACCCCCACCTGTGGACGTCGGGCCCTCATATCCCCCTTATGGAGTCTGTTTCTGACTGTTTGAGCAGACACATGCACACTTGTGGCCTGCTTGAGGTCATTTTGCAGGGCGGTCCTGCTGCTGGGTTGTTTCCCTCCTACGGCCTCCTCCACGTCTCCTGATGTACTGACCTGTCTCCTGGTAGCGCCTCCATGCTCTGGACACTACGCTGACAGACAAAGTAAACCTTCTTGCCACAGCTTGCATTGATGTGCCATCCTGGATGAGCTGCACTACCTGAGCCACTTGTGTGGGTTGTAGACTCTGTCTCATGCTACCACTACCACAATGTTTCAGCTCCAGTTTGGAGCTTTCATCAGGACACATCACTTGGTAGTGCTTGCGAAGCAAAATCCAAATAGGTTATGGTGGGGAAAAATTGTGATTGAAAACCCCTTCCACCTTAAGTCTGTGGATAGTTAATACAATGTTAAACAAAAATCTGCACACCAAGCCTCAATAAGCAAACCAGTAACCAAGTTCATGCTGATGAGTTGCATTAACAATGAAACAGCTGTCCATGAGTGGTTCACTGGTTTTGCATCTTTTCCTAAACTGTGTTCCAAGCAGTTGTATACTACAAACACAGATTAAAAGGAATCCATGTTTAAAATGGAATGAGGCAAAAATGTGATTCTTTGTTAAACTAATTTGTATATGCCCACCCATAAACCTTTGCGGTTGTAACATCACTGCAGATTTGGGATTTCTGTGGGAAAAGCAAGTCTTATGGCATGACAGATTTTTGTTTAACATTGTATTAATTATCCACAGACTTCAGGTGGAAGGGGTTTTCAATAACAATTTTTCCCCACCATAACCTAATTGGATTTATATATCTATAGATATATAGATAAAAAAGAAAAAAAGACCTTGCACTACAACTTACATTTTAAATGACCCGGTGCTCGATTGCACTAAATAGATACAGCCAAAAAACGAATCAGCACTCCCAGGATTTATTCAAAGAACGAAAACTTTTCTTTATTCAAATTTGGAATAAAGAAAAGTTTTTGTTCTTTGACTAAATCCTGGGAGTGCTGATTCCTTTTTTGGCTGTATATAGATAGATAGATAGTTAAAACAATGTTAAACAAAAATCTGCCCACCAGTCAAGCCATAAGACTTGCAATGATGTTACTACCACAAAGAATTCTGGGCCGGCATATGCAAATTAGTTTAACAAAGAATCACATTTTTGCCTCCTTCCATTTTAAACATGGATTCTTTTGAGTCTGTGTTTGCTGTATTCAACAGCTTTGAAACACAACTTATAACGCCATTCTAAATGTATTTTGATTTACATGTATATAAATATTAATATCAAAATACAGTTAGAACAAATTTAAACCAGTATATAATTTTTTTAATTTCATTTAATTTTTTAATTTTATCTTTTTTATTTATTTATTATTTTTATTTGCTATATACATATAATTAACATCATTCTAAGTGTATTTTAATATTAATATATATATACTAATAATTATTTATTTATAAGAAAATAAACTTAGAATAATGGATTGTGTATGTGTATATATAAGTACTTAGATCATAAATATATATATATATATACACACATATATATATATATATACACATATATATATGTGTGTATATATATATATATATATATGATCTAAGTGCTTTTTATATACTTTATATACTTTATAAACTTTTATTAACTTTTACTTATTTTTAAAAACTTTTTTTGCAGGCTCTAGGGCAGTGATGACTAATCTTGACACCATAGATTGTTTCTGGACTATATTTCCCATGATGCTCAGCTAGCTTTTAGAATCATGGGAAATGTAGTCCAGAAACAATCTATGGTGTCAAGGTCAGCCATCGCTGCTCTAGGGGGACAGCCTGGAAGCTCAGGCAGTTCCCCTGCAGGCACTGCACAAGCCGGCTATTCCATTCATTTGATCGCGAGGACGCCACAATCACATGGCCTGGGAGGGCCTCTTCGGGCAGAGGGGGGCTGCCTGAGCTCCCAGGCAGACCCCAGGATTGCGACCGCCGATGTGGGATCGGCGTGGACCAGGTAAGTCCCCTGGATGGCGGGTGTGTTCTTTGACACCCTCCAGCATTCAGAACCACCCCACAAAGGATGGCATAGAATGCCCGCCGTCCTTAAGGGGTAATCATTAAGGGAAATAGTGAACTAACTGCCATGTAAACAACCTTATTTTATTACCCTATCCCATGATTTTAGGGCATAAATGTCAAGGTAGGCATACTCCAACACATAAGACGCTGTGGCAAAAAATGTCCTATATTATACAAAGAAAGCATATTAGAATGGCCTGGCTTAACATAAGACATCATAGAATACAGTCTGCAAAGAGTTAACAGGGAACAGAATTAAATGAAAATGTGTAAACAGAGCCAAGAAGTAGTCAATAACAGAGTTGAGTCAAAATCACAAAATACAAACCAAACTAAATAACTCACATGACTGGTGTGGCCTTAAATAGCTCCAGAATTAGTTTCAATGGCTTGCATAAATTATGATACTAAGACGTACGCGACCAAAAACACAGTGTGGCACCATGAAGGCAGCCGTGGTGTGAACAACGTATCCGCAAAATTTCTTGCATTAGCTCAATTGAAGATCTCACTGCTAGACTAACGGGCCACTATAAAAATAACCAAATTTGCCCCTGGAGTCTCGCTGCTTAATTATTTGCCATTTAAGAGTTAAGTTCACTTTCCCTTCTGTTTCTTCAGCCCTATTCACAACACCTCTGGCTGTGACTCACACAGTCTACATAAAAAAAAAAAATGGTTTCACTTCCAATCAGATGTTAATGTGCTTTAGAGGTTTTTATCTCCTGCTCAGTAAATTGAAAATAAATTACACACAAGAGGCTCATGCAGGATCTAGGAGACTATTAATAGAGAAGGAGATAAGATATTCTAAATGAAACAGACTGGGCAATAAAGTAAGTTTAAACATTAGACCTCTCTTTACAGGAAGTGTTTAGGAAGGCGGTGCATGTCATATACAGAGAGGTGTGACTAGAGCTGCATAAACGTTTTTTAACTCCTAAATGGCAGAGAATTGAGCACCGAGACTGCAGGAGCATGATCTATACACCAAAACTGCTTCATTAAGCTAAAGTTGTTTTGGTAACTATAGTGGTACTTTAATAAATTGACATCACCTGAAAGGCAAACTTACAATTCATGTATTTGAAGTAACGTGATGCTTTACTGGAGCCCTAACAAAATCTTAATTTCTAGAAAAGGTACTGAAGGCACTCCCAGATCATGGACTTATTAATGATGTTAGTGTAAGCACCAAATTATATAAATCTGTACTCCTGCTCCATTCCTCATACAAAACTGCCAAAATTGCAATTTTTTATACGCTTTATAGTTTTCAGAAGATTAACTCATGGGCTTATGGTGACAAATATGCATGGTATACAAATGGCATATTTTCGTAGTTTTGGTTTTGTATTTTTATTTAATTTTAGTGGCTATGGTTTTATAATGCTATGTGTATAATCTCTCCAGTTTTGCTCAAACACGGGTTTGACACGATTTGGATGAAACTCCAGCATCCTAAGCCCTTTCCCTCAGCTGCTGATAGCATTATGAGGAATTCTACACAATTATCCATCCAAATATTTGTATTGCACTAGTATGCATGAAATGCTAAAGCTGCACAAGGAAATTCAAATTGCCACTGACCAAGAAAACCAATGAGGATTTGGTTTAGACAGTAAAGGGACGCAGCAATCTGACACAGTCAAACCTTGCTAGAGGCAAGGCTGATAATCTATTATTGCAGGTCATACCAGGGAATCTGTTTGACAAAAATTAAGGAATTACATCCATATCCTAATACGATCATAAACATTACAATACACTATATAGTGGTTATCTCACCAAGAGTGTCCCTTTATTAATGGACTTAAATTGTGTTCTTCAGGGAACCTAGGATGTAGGATAGTGGAACATGGTCCTGAATCTTGCTACCAGATTCAGCACAGTTGGCAAACATGGTTTAAGGCAAAGCTCCAAAGAGTTCATCACAAATATACATATGTCAAGTGACTGCACATGTTCTGAAATATGTATTTGTAATTCATTATACTCTTATAATGGGCTGATCATCTAATGTCAATATGTCTCTAACTCTGACCATTTTTACTGCAGTCTCACTAGCCCTTTTTGGACTATGCAGTCTTCTTCTGTTCATCTTTAAGATTGGTTACGATGTGGTTCACTCTTGCAAATTACCATTGGAAATAGTTTTTTCTTGCGTGGAAATTCTCTTCATCTGCATACAGGTAACACACAAATAATACGGATAATGTGATAATATGATTTTGTTAAAGTATTCTGTTATCCTGGAAAGTTTTATTGTATTTTTGTAATTCCACACAAATTAAACAATTATGCTATAAAATATATGGTCAATATTCGCCTGACTGCAAAGCAGATAAGTTATGACCTCCCAGTGTATACTAAGAACTTCAGATGGGATCTTGCTGGCTTACTGTAGAAGAGGACTATGTGGGTTACAAAGCCGTAATGTTTCTTCACCCACCTAATGGATCAGATCACAATTAGGGCACACAGTGTATACATTAAAAAAATTGCAAAAGTTATGGGTACTACCAGGAGCTTCAGATGGCTATTCAAAAGGAAATATATAAAAGGGTTGAAAACTTATTTGGGAAAGAAAAACTGATAAATGAAGAAACATTATTTTATATCAGACATTATAAAACATTATTTTATATCAGAGAGAATGAAAACTGTATTAAGGGGGTGTTTGAAAGTATTTTAGAGGCTAGTTGAATCTATATTGACTTGAACCTATTTAATATTTATTAAACTATAAGTATATTAAATTGGACCAGGAATAGCTTTGTATCCATCAACAATATTCTCAAATTGATATTGTTTTTTTTTTTTTATGAGACCACCGTAATGTGCCATAATTAGTGTGATAAACCTCTGAACTGTAGCTTCACCTGAGTGAGTTGTTTTGCTAAATAAATGAAGAAAAATTATATAATTAATAAATAAATAAATATAAACCATTTCAAATTGCCCTAAGCCATCAGGGCACAGTCCTCAGGTGTTTTGTACAAATATACACATTTTTACCATCAAGCCCAGATTCGGCTATCAGTTTGGAAGTAAAGTCAATGGCTTCTGAGTGTTTTCCCTGGTATCCCTCTTCTGGTGGTCACCGAAAGTCCACCATATTAGCCATCAGCAAGATTGGCAAGAATGCACAACAGTGAGACAAATACACGCAGAGGAGCAATTTTGTTGTAGTTAGTCAGCAAGCCTCCTCAACTACACACAATCACTGTGCATGCCATCAGCTATCTGGTATAAGGCATACCCGGGATGCAAACATATCTCTCGATTCTGGGAAGGTGTATGGGGGTCACACTACTTTATTTAGATGGCTGTAAATCAGGGGCGGGCTGGGCCGGGGGGCAGGGAGGCAATTGCCCCCCAGGCCGCCCTAAATTCCTGTAAGGCCGGCCGCGACGGGCCGGCCCTTTAAATACTGCAGCCGCCCGAGCGCTCTGTTAAGAGCCTCAGGCGGCTGCAGCTTCTCCCCTGTAGCATGGCCGAGCGAGCTGCACTCCGGTCCGCGGTGGCCGGCCGGCCGGAGTGATAGGAAGGTGCACACTGAGTGTGCACCTTCCTGTCAGTCCGACCGGGTACAGGAAACAGAAACTCCTGTTCCGCGCGGAACAGGAGTTTCTGTTTCCTGTACCCGGTCGGACTGACAAGAAGGTGCACACTCAGTGTGCACCTTCCTATCACTCCGGCCGGCCGGCCACCGCGGACCGGAGTGCCGCTCGGCCACGCTACAGGGGAGGGGGTAAGAAGAGAGGGAGGAGGGGGGGTAAGAAGAGGGGAGGGGAATAGAGGGGAGGGGGGGAATAAAAAGAAGGGAGGGGGGATAAGAAGAGAGGGAGGAGGGGGAGAGAATAGAGGGAGGAGGGGGAGAGAATAGAGGGGAGGGGGGAATAAAAAGAGAAGAGGGGGGGAATAAAA